CAAGCTTATTGCGCACCTCATACACCTTGCCGAACCACCCTTGCCAAGGCACCGCAGCTGGATAAAGTCATCATGGTACCGGCCGGTGCATGTCCATCACCATATTCTCAAACGTTGTTGCAGATGAGGCTGACACGCGGCTGCTACGCCGCATCCACATTGTCTCGTGCACGCTACTGTTGGCTGCACTGGCGCTACGCGCCCGACCTGACGTAGGCCGCGAGCCCTCTGATACTCTGCTGCTCCGCGTGGCCATGCGTGGCAAATCAATGCTGTCGAACTGGTTCTCCGAATCAGATTCAGACGACGATGGAACGAGTCGCCAGTCTACCACCATTGTCGTTGCTCCATGACCATTCATCGCTATTGCCTTCGCTATCACTGTTGTCGTCGTCATCGTCGCCGCTGTTGTCGTCATCGTTGGTTAGCGAAATGTCAAATGCAAACGAATCGTCATCATCGTCACCCAGCCCAGTGGTCAGCGACCGGATTCCTGTCTCAATGTCCCGCTGCTCATACGATGCCAGCGACTCCTGCGCCTTCACCACCAGCTGCCGGAATGCGTCAGAATAGGTAGCTCTGACTGACGCAACCTCATCAACATACTCTTTGCCAATAATCCCCATTGAGTACAGGTACGGCAGATTGTGAAAAACAGCCGCCGGTTACGCAGAGGGTCGTCGTCGTACGTGCGGCAGTAGTTTTCCAGCAACGATACAAACAGCATCCGGCTCTGCACATCCCGCCCATCGCCCCGAGATTTCCGGCGGCAGACTCATCCCCGGGAGGAGACTGCCCATCCCTGGTGGCAGTGCCTTGCCGAATCCCATTGAGTTCTGCCGCACCAGCATTTGCTATGCGCTGCCATCAAGTCCGGCAGCTGCTGCATCGGAGACACATCGTGTTCGCTCCAGGCACCGGCAACTGCGATGGAGATCGTGTTGCCCAGAATCGCTGCGAACTGCCCGTCTCGCTGCTATTGGCCTCATCCCGCTGCTATTGCCCTCGTCGCTGCTGTCGCTCAGCTGCCGGAACCGCCCTGTGGCACCTTGCTGGTGCTTTGAACTGTCCGACTTGGATCGCTCGGCGTCGCTGCCGTCATCATCGACATTTTGTATTTCTGTTGCGCGGCTGCTGGCTTTCGTGTCGCTGCTGGATCGATCAGCCATTGAAATGAATAGGCAAAAGTTGTGTGTATGTGTAAATACCGACAGGCGGGAGAAATATTTACAAAACGGGAGGACTGCGGTCTGTGCTCTTATGCCAGCCTATTATGCATATGCCCGGGACAATAAATTATGCAATGGTGCCGCACTTTTGTTGACGTTGAGAAATTTAGTGACGATTTGGAAAAGAAGGCGGTGGAAAGCACGGAACATGGAGGAAGAAAAGGAGTCTGCAAAAAAAGTGTCAGGCCTGCGCCCGCCAGGTGAAAAAAAATAAACCGATGGAGCACCGCGATTGGCCGCAGTACCGGAACAAGCTACGTGGCCGGTGCAACAAGGCAAATCGGTGTGATATGCAACGAGGCAAACCCAGACCCACCAACGCACAGTGTAGCATTGATGTATGAGTGCTTAATACATATCTCGCCATGGGTCATCGTATTGACCAGGTAGCTGCTATTCAAACGAACTCAAACATCATAAAAACAAAAAAGCCACATTAGGACTGCATGTCCAACAGTCTCAATATAATGGACCCCTCAAGCATCGTTGAAGAAGATGGATACTGTAATGCGTAGGTGACAAGTGCGACCATGGAAAACATGGATGAAAACACTCTGGCCATATCGTTGGCTGGCTGCGCTCGCTTCAACATGCGTCGCACCCACCGTGTAATTCATTCATCGTACAAAGCATTGGACTCCGCACTCTAATAAACCACTCCTTTGACTCTTTCCCAGTGGACGCACGTCGATTTACCAAGGTCAAATGGGCCATGGGTATCTTCTTGGTGCTCACGCTCAATGTATATGCGGATTGGTGTCTCTAACTGTTAGAGAATAGCTGTTGGTCTGTCTGAAATGTCATCGAAATATGACCAGCTGGCATCCTTTTCCATTAGAGGCAATTGAGCATGGCCAGAGCTAGACTGAGGCAGCAAGCAGCCGTCCTTTCCACGAGCCTGGAGACCATGTCAGTCGAGTGACAAGCGGACCTCCAAGTAGCGAGCCTCAGCACTCTTCACAGGGTTTATAGCTAAGACACAAAGCTTGGACAGCTTTTCAGCGATTTCCGTGCACCACAAAACATTTACTGGTCATCGCCACTCCTAGTCACAGAAGTTATAGTGCGCAGGGAATCGCTTGCGTTCAGTCAAAGCCTTCTCGAGTTTGTTTAAACCAGCGCAGCAAAATCCCAAGCGTGGTTGCAACGGAGACAAGCAGCACCTTCCGCTCATCGCTAGTCTCTGCGTTGGCCTGCCTCCTATAGTCCTCAAATAGCTGGTGATAGCGAGAGAAACGACAATCCATTGCAGCAGATTTTAGAGATAGAAACCAGCAAAGGAACATTGAACTCAGTCTTAGCATGAAGTATGCTCGGAGTTTATATGTACAGAAACAAACTGAATACTAACCAGAGTCCGGGTGGTGCTGTATATAGTGCACTAGACAAACTACATTAGCTTTCGATATTATTTTTAATCACCTATGTAAACACCAGATGTCAGCTCAGTTCAGTTGTCCATACACGCTTGGGTCCTTGAATAATCTTTGTCAAGCTGGTATTGTCTCAATAGTTCGTAAACAAGGTGTGTAACATCGCACTGCATCCCAGAGACCTAGCGTTCTCTTTTAGAAGCCTCATAGCAGGGAAATCAATGTGTCTGCCAGGTGTCGCATGTAGTGAATATAGTGCGCGAATATCATTCCGCATATGCGGATTTTTTGGACAATAAGCAAACACTGGAAATCAAAGCCAGTTCAGCCACGCCGTGTCGTGTTTAAAAGCAGCAGACAGGTCTGTTTTTGTCCGTGGTCACAAACTCACCTCACTGCACCAATCTACACACTTTATATTTGCCATGGACTATGGTCAAGTGTTCACTTTCTTTGATGCTCCGGACACTGACAAGTCTGCAGTAGTTTACCGCGGCCACTTTAAGAAAAAAGCCGATTGCCTCTGACCAGCCGATTTGCTTACTCGGTCCGAATCGACGGGCGCGACCTCTCTGTAATCGCAATCCATCAGCAAGGAGCCATGTCCTCGTGTCGGGGTCGCGAGAAGGCATTTCCAAGAGTCGAGCATCAATGAGGGGATTTGGTGGTGTTGCATCAGCAAAGAAGGAAGGTTTCATTAAGGGAGCCTGGTCGTTCACAGATTTCAAGGGAAATGCGTACAAGTGGGATGTCAAGTTTTAGTGGCAGCAAGTGGTGGGCTGTATGACGCGGTGAACCAAGAGGTTGCTTTCTTTGAGCGAAAGCCATGGAAAGTTGAGATCGAAGGGTTCCTGTTCATCCGACAGCGCGTCTCAGAGGAGCTCCTTTCTCTGATTCTTCTAACAAACAAGCTTGTGCACAATCGTGTCAAAAGTAGCGAGCATCCCGATGGATAAAAGCGCAGTTTCCTTGGACTATCTTATGTTTTGGCTGGTGGAATCGCCCTATATCTCAGCAAACTGCAATACGTGGTTCTATGCAAGCCCCATGAAACGAAATATCTATTCGCAGCAGTGCAATTTTTACGCGCAGCCTAGCCTGCAGTCATCAATAAAAAATATTAAACCTGATTCGCACGTCTGATTGAATGGGTGTGCTTTGCGGTGCTGCCCACCTGGAGAAGCTACACGATAACCCCGTATCATGCTGCTATAAAACCTGTACAGCCATAATCCACTACTCCGTATGAAGCTGCTATTGTTCTGGCTCCATAGGTGCTACTAGTTTGCAGATTCTCTAGTATCTCTAAATATTATTCAAATGACATCTAATCTTTTCCTCTTCATCAAACACTGTACCAAAGAAGGCATTGACAGTAAACACCCCCAGCGGTTCGTCTTCTCAGCAAGAATTTAATGGTGGAAATAGCGCGTGCTCCAACCTCATTGCAGCGGGTAATGAATGCTACTGATCCAGCCAGCCTTGGGGTGCTGGATCAGTGGAACCAGCAACTAGCAGAGATTGCAATTGGGTTGCAGCAACAACTGGTGGGTCTACTTGCCCACCAGAAACCTGGCTACACACAGTCGCCGCTGCCGCGTTTACCAGCTGGGCAGATATCTGCGTCACATGTAGACATCACCCATGTCGATATCCTTCAGCTTATTCCACGTAGCGTGTGTCGAAGCGATGCCATTTATGGAATACGTCGAGTATACACTCTGGATTGCTCGAGAAACAAAAGATGCTCGTTAAAGGGCCACCTACAAAAGTTTGACATCAACAAGTCCATGATAATCAATTCGCACCCGGTCAGTACCCGGATCGACGAGTTCTTTATTGAGAGTAGCTACGCGGAGACATTCATTCAAAAGATGATTGATGGCAAGGCTGCTTCGTCTATCGGCATCGATCCGGCCAGTATAATCTGTCGGGAAGTCCGGCAGAGTGGACAGAAACCGTCTTCATCATACTACTGCGGGATGCTTCAAAGTGCATACTTGGTCATCAAAAATGCTAGCCACACCAGGGCCCTAGAGTACATCGCAGCATACACAAAAGAGATTGGTGTTGGGATACCAGTGCACGAGAAATAGCTGGCCAAGACGGACTGGCCCGATGCACTCTATCCTATGGGTCCATCGTGGTATTACTCGCCTGCCGCAATGGCTACACAGCAGGGGCTGGTGTAGTATTAGTCCCCCTCCCCATAAAGTCGCACTCATCACGCTGCTATCAAAAGACAGTATTGGCGTTTGCCGGCGCATCATTTTTATATTCGCTTTTGCACATACTCATATCTCATTGTATTGATCAACAAATATGGCTAATGATTTCACCAACGACCCCACCTACCCTTTTTTCCCAGAAAGGCGAAGCTGTTGACCCGAGAAAGAGATCTGCAGATACCTTTTACGTGTATAGTGAGGGAACGAAGAGGCGCAATATTTCGGCTTCATTGCGACCCCCGGCCACACCGTTTTCCGATATACTAAACACCACCAGCCCGTCTTCCATCGTGCAACTGGATCAGTGGAACCAGCAGCTCGCTGAGATGGTCATTGGGATGCAGCAGCGACTGGCAGAGCTCATTGCTAACCAGCATGCGAAGTCTGCGCCTTCTCCACTTCAACTTACAACGTCAAAGGCGCCAGCGGCTCTAGATATGGGCAAGACTGGCGTTGAGATCTCCAAAGCAGTGCCTCAATGCGACTGTCCAAGCGATATCAAATACAGAGTTCGAAGGATCTACACAGTTGACTGTGTCAAAGACCGCTCAATTTCGGTCAAACGACACCTACAAAAGTACGGTATTACCAGCTCGATGATCATATATTCTCACCCGATCAACGACCGCTTCGACGAGTTCATTGTTGAGAGCACTTACGCGGATACGTTTGTACATGCTCTGTACGATGCGCAGGTCGTCACAGTTATCGGCTATAATCTTTCCGGTGTTGTCAGTCAGGCGATATCGCTGGGCGCGCCGGTGCCAACCTATGACCAGTACTGCCGCAGCCTAGTCAGTGCTTACAAAATTGCGCGAGGAACGAAGCAGTTCCGAAGCAAAGAGTTTCTGCAGGAGTACGCCGCTGAGATTGGCATCAGGCTGCTGTAGTGCTGACTGGTCATTTATGCCACTTGAGTACTGGCCACTTTCGCTTGGCTCCTCCACCCCCATAAATATATTAATTCGGTCATCGCTGCTATAACGGACGGCTGTGTGGTGGGCAAACATCACAATGTACCAGCTTCGCACGTCAATAACTTGTTTGCTTCCAACATTGTACGCCATGTCGCTTAGCTTACCAAATGCTGCTTTTGACCATTCCTCTCAAACAGGCGAAGAAAATGCAACAAAAAAGCGGCTACCAGAGCCCAGTTACGGCGGTGCTAAGGGTCAGAAGCGGCAAATGTACACTGTCGTTCTACAGTCTGCGCAGGCACCATTCCTCAGTGTGCTGAATACAGTTGACCCCTCCGGCATCATGCAGCTGGATGAGTGGAACCGACAGCTGGCAGAGCTAGTGGTACATTTCCAAACCAGGATCTCTGAGCTTACCCTACCTCCAGCTGACGAGCCGCAGCAATTGTCAGATCCTGCCCGCTCCATGGAAATATTCAGCCCGAAAAAGAGTCAGGCTGCCAATCACGCAGAGTCATGTGCTTATATTTTCATTCCTTCTAATGCATGCCCCAGCGATAAGAAGCACAGCGTTCGGCGGGTTTATATATTGGACTTTCCAAGAATCAGCGGGAAGAAAGCTAAGCCTAAAAAGCGCCTGAGTACCTATGGTGTTAATACTGCCAAGATTCTCCTTTCCCACCCAATCTGCCCGCGGGTCGACGAGTTTTTTGTTGAAAGCAGCTATGTAAACGAATTCGTCACCAAAGTTCGCAGTTCAGGGCTGACTACGCTCTGCACTACCGATGCCAGCAAGGCACTGTGCATTGCTCAGCGCACATCCAAGCCGATACTGTCCTTTCAGAGATATTGCAGTAAATTCAGGACCGCATATCTCACTCTCCCGAAGGCGGCTAAAGGCCGATGCACCAAGTATCTTCAAGACTATGCAATAGAGGTTGGAATTAAACTCTGATGTACTTTAGTTAAATAAACAGGCCCATATATGACAATGGTACGGTGCCTCTCAGATAATGCATGGTGTCTTGTATTCTTCCATAGACATGCCGTTTGATGCCATTTTGTTATAGCAATGTGGCCATGAGTGAGTAAGCACATCATCAAGTAATATATCACGCAATGCCCCCAACGTTTCCTACCGTCATTTATCTCGGAGTGCTGACACAGTTGACAGCAAGAAGAGGCCAGCGGATTCCGATCAGTTTGGCGTCGTGAATCAGAAACCATAGCTGTATTCTGGCTTACAATTTGCGTAAGCACCGTTCCTCAGGATGCCAAATGCAGTTGACCCATCCAGCGTCATGCAGCTGGATGAGCGGAGCTGACAGCTGACGGACCTAGTGATAAACCTCCGAACCAGGATCTCTGACCTTGTCCTGTCTGCAGTTGCAGGCTGCAGCAATTGGTAGACCCTGCCCGCTCCTTGGAGACATTCAAGTCGAAAGCAGCCCCTGGTTCCAGGCTCAGTAAAGTCGATCTACCCTGGCTTATTCATCCTTGCGGGCGTCCCAGAGATAAGAAACACAGCGCTAGGTGGGTCTATATGCTGGAACTCCTCAGAGCTATTGGGGAGAAAGCAATGATTAAGAAGCCCTTGAGGGCCTGTGGCGCGAGTACTGTCAGCATCCTCTTTTACTGCCCAAACTGCCTGCTGGTCAATAAAATTTTTGCTGAAAGCAGCCCATCGCTACCCTGTCAGGAATATGGCAACAAATTTAGGATTGCATATTTTAATGCCAAACAGCAAAACAGCGGCCAGTCCATTGAGTATTTTGCGCAGTATGCTGCGGAGGTCGGGATGGATGCCGTCAAGCAGCTGGTGTAATTGACGCATTTCTGGCAGCAGAGTGGTGTATAGCAGTCACAGTTGAGCTACTGTCCTTTTTGCATTTGTTGTGTCCCAACATGAATGCTCTCTCGTTACACTGGTGATAGCTATTGAAGCTAGAGTTGCTCAGCGTTTCTGTTCCCAGCTGGCATTCCGCAGGCACTGATCAAGGATATCCGATCAGAATTATCTCATTCTGGCCATTTTATTTCGCCACAACACACAGCAGACAGAGCTAGCCTTTTGTTCCACTTGCCTGCAATTTTTTCCTCGTTTCAAGTATTTTGCAAGTTGCTGGAATGTCTTTTACTCAGCTAACAGTGTCGCGGCCAGCGTTTATCGGAGATGGGTCAAATAGCGGCGACAGTGCAAAGCGAGTGAAGCTCGAATTCCCTACGAAAGCACGGACCGAGAGAAATTCCGTTGTCCTGCTCCAACCCGTCTCGGTTGTAATCCCCCACGGGATGCAGCCCGAGGACGCTGCTGGTCTCGTGCGCATGTGTCAGTGGAACCAAGAGCTGTCAGCAATAGTGATGCATCTGCAGAACCGGGTAGCTGAACTCCGCCAGGCACAGCAGCATGCATCAGGCCAGATGCCATCAGATTCGCCCATGAGTTCTGCATCGACACTCGCTCCAACGAGCCCGCTGAACCAGCAGCCAGACAGGCCATACCAATCGCTACGGCACTGCGATTTCAAATACGGGGTTCGGCGCATATACATATTGAAACTTCGTGCAACCAAAGCGAATATGGCGCAGAAGCTTAGTGACATAGGGATTGACTCTGACTGGGCAGTGCATGTCCAGTTTTTGACGCTGAGTGTGATTGAGGCCTTCGTCAAAGCAGAGTTTTCCAAGCAGTTCTTCGATAAGCTCATGGAAGCTGGTATTCAGGTGCTTGATGGGTATGAGCCAATGACGAAGGCCCACCCAGGCCTTACAGATGGCGAGGCGACGCATATAGCAGCGTCATACGGTACAGTGCTGAGAAAAGCACTCAAAAAGTTGTCCGCGCCGGCTTGTTCTGTAGAGGAAAAGTTCCTTCATTACCTCCGAGAATATGCCAAGGAGATTGGCGCTCCGCTTAAGGCCACCGTCGTCCAAATGGTGTCAGGGCCAGCCCAGCAGACACATTGATAAATTTTAGCAATCAGCTCAGCAGAGCTGCGCGATCGGCTAAGATTTGTTGTTTTAAATTGCCAGCTGTGACACAGTCCTCGTCTCACCTCTCTTCTCCACTCTGCCTCCAATCGACTTTTTTTTCTTCTCTCTTTACACTACTCGTATTCTAGCAATATCTGATGCTTCCATCGCCTAGCCACTCGCCAGATCAGCTGCAGCACTACGCAGACCAGTCGCCACATACCGTGTTGCCGCCAAAAGAATTTACAGTGTACAGGCCGAGGCTGTCCGATTTTTCATCGCCGCAAATGTCTAGCCCATGCGTTTCACTTGAACCCGTTAAGGTTAAGATAGCACCAGAAACCCCACCGGAAGAGGCGAAAGAGATCGCAAAAATGTGCGAGTACAACAACGAGCTCCGGCTGATAGCCGAACTGCTCCAGAAAAGGATCACAATATACGAGCAGCAACGACAACAGCGGAATCAACAGACACAAGAATACAAAGCAGTAAACCAGGAAACAACGCCAACCAATTCTGATAAAGCCAGCACACAAAGCCGCTCTCTCAACCCTTCCCCCGAACGACACAGCTACGCCAAGAAGGATTCTTGTGGAGTTTGCACACACGGCCTGCCTGAGCCATCACCTGTCGAGGCCAAGTATGCTATCCGCACGCTGTACATAAAAGACATGCGCGTCTTTCCGTACCCCTACATGGACAAGGTCCTGCGGCACTACGATATCGACGATCTGGAGATCTACCATGCCAACTATGTGCTTCCTGACGTCTGTGAGATATTTGTTTCTCAGCGGGATGCTGAGGTTTTGGTGCGGAGACTACGGCGATACGACAAGGCTATTTTTAAGGGCTTTGATCCACTGCATATTTCGCTCAGGAGCAAGATGTCGCTGGAGACAAAGAAAACCGAGTACAGAAAGCGCTTGCTGACCAGTTATCACAGATGTGACAACGGGAATTTCCGTCGGTTCGTGAAGAACTACTCCTACAGCTTGGGAATTCCACTAGGCTCTACGATATAGACCAGGAGCAGGGCGTATGTGTCCTGACAGACACGCAGACAGCCGGGATGTGCATCTGCACATCGTTTGTGCTGTGCATCGTTGCCTGGGGGTTGTGTTACAGGAGGTCTGCCTCCTTCTTCTTGCACATCCTGC